AAAGCACCACCCCCCCCCCCCCCCCCAGCCAGTCAGTCAGTGACCAGGGGGTCCCCCCAGCCAATTGCGCTGGCCCAGAAGTGCCAGGGGCACTTCTCCTGGCACCCCCACTCCTTGACTGGTGCTCTCAGGATGAGCATAAGTGCTTCCGCGTGCCCCCCTGCCCATAACCTAAGTGGGGAACACTGGCTGTCAAGGGGAGCACCAGCTCTCAGGGGGTGCACATGCACCTCCATGCCCCCCTATGCATTGCCACAGAGCCTCCCAAATTATTATTTTTTTTTATATGAGAGTCTTCTTGTAAGACATTCAGCTTCTCTGAGAATTTAAGTGTTTATACTGTATTAAGGCAATTTTTATTTAACTAAAAATCAAGGTTCTGACCCATGCCTGTAGGGAACAACTTCACAACCAAATCAAACTACAGAACTCTGGCTAGCATTATGTTTTACATGCACTTTTAAAGAACAGAGTATTTCCCTTAAAAAAAAACCTGAACTTTTTTCAATTCAGATGTGATCTACTTGAGGATGGTCCTGCTTTGAGCAAGGGATTGGATTTGATGACCTCCTGAGGTCCCTTCCAACCATCACTTTCTATGATTCTATAATCCAGCTCCCCCTTTAAAACAAACTGAAAGCTCTGCAGTATGCTCAGAAACCTAGCATAACCTAGACTCAAGGCCAAGGAAGAAAGCCTTTCAGATTCCAAAGCTTCTCAAAGAAAACCTTGCCCAAGTGCCTCCAGATACTAATTCTGGTAGTCGCTTTCACCAAACAAATCCTAAACGCATTAGTTTGACAGTTTCAAGTCACGCAGATTTCTCCTACCTCTAACAACCTGAAGTTGTTGCTGCTAGTTTCTTTGTTTCCTTCCCTCTGCTTTAATGTTTGAGATAGGATTCTGATATCCAATGCTTCTCTAAACTAGGCATTTGCACAGACCCTTTGTTTCTACAGCTTTTAGCTTAATAGCTCCTATCTTTTGCTGTCAGTAAATGAATTACTGTGAGCTGAACAGCAAATCAGTTCATATTCCCATCTTTTCAGCAGCATAGAGCTGGGATGTCAAAGATACAGCACAAGAGATTTGGCCCAAAGGGCTGGACATTTGGCAACAGAAGAGGTTATGGTTTTCAGAACTGCAGCAGCTGCAATTGCTAACAATGCTGTTACATATCCAGCCTTGTAGGGGGTCACATTAGTATGACAGTCTGACATTAACTCAAATCTCAGCTTCTGAACAGTACTGAAGACTATTCAGTGGGAGATGCACCAACCACTAGGTCATTTTCAATAGCGATTCAGAGAGATGCATCACTAAGCCACTCTTATCACCATTTTTTTCTCTACTATATATTTAGTGGGATATGGTCCGTGGTCTCAAACTTCCTTTTATCACCTTATCAGAGTGTAAGGTATTTCCAAATGGGCAAATCTCCTATTAGACCAGGTTTTGGTTCTTACTGAGAGCTTTAGAATACCACAATAGATTGCTTAGTATCTAGCAAAGTTAAAAACGCATAGCACATGAAAACATGCTCCTTACTTCAAAGAAACAACCGAGCACACCAAGGAATTATGGTCCTAATAAAGAGGCTTACCCATATATGAAAATTCATTTTTGCTTTCAGAAGATGAGTCTTTTCTTTCAGAAGGAGCCAAGCATGCTTCATTGCACTTTGCACGCTTTGCCTTCTGCTCTTCCTCAGAAGATGGCTCATATGGTCTTTTGCACGTGCTGCAACTGTGACTTGCACTTTCTAGGTAATTTGCAGAGCTATCATGTTCCCATCCCACATGTAAAGACTTACTCGAGCCTTAGGAAGAAACAACTTTGTGTTTTTGTAGAATTTTAAACATCCACTTACAGTGCTATATTTTGTTGTTTTATTAGGTAAAGCGTTATGATAGTAGTAACATGTTAACATTTGACTGCCTCCTTTGAATCTCCAGCTTTCTTCCACAGACCAAAGCAAAACAAATAAGGCATCATTAATAGTTATGAAAGTAAAGAAACCCACACGTCAAAATTCCTACAATCCCTTTCCACGTGCTGTATGCATGTAATATTCTTTAGGTTTTGTTAAGTGCAAAGTTTTTCCTGTTACAACTTTGTCTCTAGCTTATTCAAATTCCTCCATTTTCCCCGATTTCTTAACTGCCTGACCTGGGACACACTGGCTTCAGGCTACAACCTGGCGCAGGTGCAAGCCACCTGCTATGATCCCAGGGGGTTGTCAGATGCTGCTCAATGCCAGTGCTGTGAAGTGCAGAGGCACTACCAAGGCATCTACGAGACAAAAACCGTGGGGACAGTGCAAAGGCATGGGTCCCGTGTGGCCTCTCCAGCACTTTGCAACCAGTGGCTTCTTCACTTTGCTCCCAGCCCAGAACAGCACAGGGACCACGAGCGGCTTGCAGCGCAGCCCTGCAGGACTCCGACTTGGGGCCGGGGCTTCTCAGTAATGCTCTGCAACGCGGTGGGGTCCCTGGGCACTCCACCCCACTGCCCCCGCCGCCTGCCCCAGCTGGTACCTGGCAAGGGGGCCAAGAGTGGCTGTGCTGCACTGCCCACGAAGGCCCAGGCATCCTCCTCCCTGGCGAACTTCTTGAAGCGGGCGGCCGGGTACTTGTCCACCTGCTCGCGGCACTCTCCCCTGCAACACAGCGCCGTCAGGGAGAGGGCGAAAGGCGGCGGGGGGGG